AGTGTTGGGGTCTCCAAGGATCCAGCCTTCCTGTGACACTCTCCCCTGGCAGTTCCAAGGCTTCCACACTCCACCTTGTCCCAGCCTCCTGGAGTCAGCTCCCCTTTGTCCAGTGCTGCCCCCTACCCACCTCCTGATCCCTGACCGTGGCACCTCCCCCCTCCAGGTGTTGGCACCATCTGTGTCCTTGCCCTTGCTTCCTGCACAATGAGGCACCATATTATGCTTCTTCCTCTGGTTATCCCAATCTCTTCACTCCATTACTGCTTCTCTCACCAGACAGTCCCTATCCTCTTCCTGATCCCCTCACTCCAGGATCTCCTCCATCGTCTGGTGCCTTTTAGGTAAAGCTGCCAGAGGCCTCTTCCTAAAGCTTGAGTCGTCAGATTCTAGCCCCCTCTCTCCATCCTCCCCCCATGAGGTCACACTAGCCGCCTTCCCTGGTCCTGCCCAGGCCTTGCTGGTGCATCCTCTCTGTGCTCTAGTTCTTGCTCTTCCCACTGCCCGGAATCCTTTCCCGTTTCCAACCCCATTTCTCTTCTTAGACCCAGCTCAAAGGCCTAGGCCCTCCAGATTAAAATCAGCCACTACAGGGGACTTCTCATGCTTCTTAGAGAGCTCTTTTCACACTTAACAGCTTTTTTTTTTTTTTTTAACATCTTTATTGGAGTATAATTGCTTTACAATGGTATGTTAGTTTCTGCTTTATAACAAAGTGAATCAGCTATACATATACACATGTTCCCATATCTCCTCCCTGTTGCATCTCCCTCCCACCCCCCCTATGCACGTACAGCTCTTAAATCATTAATTTGTGTATTCATTTAACAAATATTTCTTGAGCACCTTTATGCCCCAGGCCCTGGGAACACAAAGGTGAAAAGACACAGATATTTTCCGCAAATCTATTACGTTCCAGTGGAGCCGTGAGGTGATACATTGCAGGTGCAAGTGGAACTCAGCTGATGGAGGATTTGTGAGACTCCCCCTCAAGCAGGGCTCTCACAGGTGTTCAAGAACAGGAGTCAGGGTACATCCTGCTTCTCCAGAGCTGGGGTGACCCTGGGCCACTCTGAAGACTTCGTGAGACATCCAACTCCAAGGCTCTTCATCTTGGAAGGAACCTGCAATGGACTCTAAGTATGCCTGCCTCACTCTTCCCTTTCACAGCCCCCTCATTTCCTGTCTGACTTGTATATATTCGTGTTTTTCTAAGGATGGTCTGCAGACCAGCTGCTTCAGAGCTATCTTGGGTTTCCCAGAAAAACCTCCTGGATTAGCATTTTTGCAGGCCAGGCCTTGCAGTATGCATTCTAGAAGCTCCTTGTGCTAGACAACAAGATGATGGCTCCCCAAGATGTCCACGTCTTAATCCCCAGAACCTATGAATGTGTTACCTTACATGCGAGAAGGGACCTTGCAGATGGACCTTCAGATGGGGAGATTATCCTGGACTATCTGGGGGGAGGGGCCCAGTCTAATCACATGAGTTCTTCAAAGCAGAGAACCTTTCCTGGCTGGGGTCAGAAAGAGATGGTGATGGAAGAAGAGTCAAAGAGATACCATGTTGCTGGCTTTGAAGATCAATGAAGGGGCCACAAGTCAAGGAATGCAGGCAGCCTCTAGAAACTGGAAAAGCTTCTAGCTTCTCCCCTAGAGCTTCAAAAAGGAACACAGCCTTGCTGACACCTTGATACTAGCCCAGTGAGACCCATGTAGGACTTTGGACCTACGGAACGGTAAGATAATAAATTTGTGTTGTTTTAAGCCCCTATAATTGCGGTAGTTAGTTCTGGCAGCAATAGAAACCCGATATGCTCCTCCCATGAGTTTACATATCTAAGAGTTGAGAAACTCTGCCGTACAGTGAGTCCGTGACATGTAAACGAGTTCCATTCCGAGAGTGCGTTCATAAAACCAATTTGTTCGTTAAGTCCAGCAAAGTTAGCCTAGGTACCCAACTAACACAATCGGCTATATTGTACCATACTGTAATGGGTTTATAATAATTCTCACACAAATAATACATAAAAAACACACACAAAAAAATAGTACTGTACGGTAAAGTACACAGAAGCACAACCACTTGTAGTAGATGCATGCACATGAAAATGTGTGCCAGACACGTGAACTAACTTACATGATTGGACCTGCGAACGCATGTCCCCATCTTTGAAAGTTTGCAACTTGAAGGTTCGTATGTAGGGGACTGTATGTATAAATTCACTCAGCTACATGGTTTCACATGATGGGTGGTCATTCATCAAAAACCTCTTGATTCTGGCTCCTGCTACTACCTGCTTGATTCCCCAATTCAAATGTGGGAGAGGGAACAAATGAACAAATGAATAAGTCAGTCTGATCAGCCCAGCTCATGGTTTTTCACTCCGGGACAATCTATAGGAGGCTTCCAGTTATGGATTGGCTGTCCTAGCATCAGCTTTAGCCAGAGGGCCCAACTCAGGCTCCAAAACATGGCCAAAGTGGGCTGCCCTTGTAGCCAGGGCTGTGGGTTGGGGGAGGCGTTGTGACTGGTGTCCAGGACAAGGGGCAGTGGTCTCCTCTTCCCAGGGGGAGGGCCTGGGAAGACTTTGGAGAGGAGGACACGATGGAGTTGAGACTGAGAAGTGGGTGTGGATTTGCCGGACGGGTGGCAGAGGGCTGGAATGCCCTGGGCGCTGAGGCTTAGGAGAGCAGGGCCATTTGAGGGCAGCCTGCTTGGTATTGCTGGAGTAAAACCTGTGGTGGGGAAGGGGCGGAGGGGCAGCAGCCAGGTTTCTGAGGGGCAGGCCTTTACCAGTGTGGGTTGGAGAGTGGAGAGGGGCATCAAGGCGGGAGGTGGGGATGGATTGACAGCACTTTAGTGGGTAGACTGCACAGGTTTGAAGCTGGACAATAGGAGACAATACTTGACCCTCCCCTTGGCTCTGGATCCCCTGAGGCCAGAGGCTGGACTTAAGCCTTGGCTGGAAGAAGGGGGGAAATGGAGAAATGAGGGAGAGAGGATTCCAGAGAAGTTTGGATGCACATTAGACAGTTGGGCGAGGGGTTTCAATTGGCGAACTCTCTGGAAAAGGATCTTTTTTTTGAGTCTTCTCATCTTTGGCAGGCCTTAGAAAGCAAATTCTGAGAATTATCCAAGTCTGAGTAAGCTCACTGGTGTCTCAAAATACTGAAATTACAAGAATTAAAATAAAAATACCAAATTGCATAATAAGCATAAGAAAGTCCGGCAAAGCTCTGATGTTGCCATTTTTAAAAACACCAGATTCTTTCTAGAGAAACTTTTTGTGCTGAGCTTGGCCTGTCTATGGTGGAGAAAGAGGCCTGGGAGGCTGCCACTTGGCCTGCCGCTGGGATTTGCAACTGAGGCCCGGCAAGTAGCTAGCAGGGACTGTCCCCCGTGCTGCAGCACCCCCCCCACCACACACACACACGCGCACCGAGAACCTGCAAAAAGGAAAGGGAACAGTGGGAACAGAGGCTAATGCCGTGTCAGGGCACCAAGGCCTGGGCCCCAGGAGCAGAGTGAGGCACCTTCGTGTACAGGAGCTGGATCTGGGTCTGCATCACTTCAGGTCAGGGAAAGTAGGACACCTGACGGACCCATGGGTGACCTGGCAGTGGCCACGCTGAAGGCTCTCCAGCCATGCACGGAGGTCCAGGCTGCAGCGGCTGAAGAAGGACCCAGACCCCTCCCAGCTATGCCAGCTGAGGCCGCTTGGAGTTATAGCCAAGAAAAAACTCTTAAGTAGGAAGGGTTTTGGTCTATAACAGCTTTTCTTTGGAAAAGGAGGGTCGATTCATCTTGTTCTGTGGAAACCCAGGATTGCCATGGCAAGAGTGAGGGTGATATTAGTGCGGATGCTTTGGACAATTTGAGAAATGAGGAGACCGCCTTGTATGGGTCTCTTCCCCTTTCCTAATTTTAACACAAAGCAAGGAGGAGAAATGATTCCAGCATGAGTGCCTGAGGGAAACAACACTCCTCCCCCACCCTTAGTATTTGCTTAAATAAATGTTTAACGTTTCGGGGATTTTGTTGTTGTTGTTGTTGTTTTTGGCTGAGTTGGGTCTTCGTTGCTGCGCGCGGGCTTTCTCTGGTTCAGGCGAGCAGGGGCTACTCTTCGTTGCGGTGCGCGGGCTTCTCACTGCAGTGGCTTGTCTTGTTGCAGAGCACGGGCTCTAGGCGCGCGGGCTTCAGTAGTTGCAGCTCACGGGCTCAGTAATTGTGGCACACAGGCCCTAGAGTGCGCGGGCTTCAGTAGTTGTGGTTCGTGGGCTCTAGAGTGCAGGCTCAGTAGTTGTGATGCACGGGCTTAGTTGCTCCGTGGCATGTGGGATCTTCCTGGACCAGGGCTCGAACCCGTGTCCCCTGCGTTGGCAGGCGGATTCTTAACTGCTGTGCCACCAGGGAAGTCCCGTTTAATGTTTTTAATAAGATTTCAGCTAAACCCAGCCAAGGGAGGGATGGCTGTGTTAAGATATTATGTTTCATTTCCTCATGAGTGACACTGATGCATTATAAATAGTTCTTTATTATGAGTTTATATACTGCCTGATACATGAAATATATTTCCTTTAAAATATTTAAAATAATTCCTGCTTATAAGCAACTTATTCGGATTATTGTTAACATAATGTTCACATTCAAACCTTTCAATCCCAGGAAACCACTACACACACTCGGGAGGAACGGTCAGTAGTGCTGTTTACCATAGCAGTGTAAACGTTTCTCAGAATAAGGGAATGATTCTAGATTATCCGTGGTGAACAATAACTACCATTTTCTTATGCCAGCAGTGCTCACCGTGCGTTCTTAGATGCGTGAAAGGCACCGTGTCTCTCCTTCCTTCCCTGACTTTAAGAGCTGCAGCGTTAAATAAAGCTGCAACGTCACACACCCAGCCCTGCTGATCTTCCAGGGTGTTATGTGGCCAGTCTACCAGCACCCCATTCACATGCTTTTCCAGAACGAACCTTGGGCCTTGCCGAAGAGGCTAACGGTCCCACTCGCTGGGGTTCTGCTCATCACGATCGTCCTCCTCCGAGTCAGCAGATACTCTCTTAATTCTCTGGAGCGCCGCCTTGATGCTCCTCTCCAGGTCGCTGGTGGGTTTATTGCTGGGGCTCGGGCCAAGGTCAGGGTGAACTTTCTTCAGTTTGACCCCTTGCCTTATGGCAGCCAGAATGTGCTCATTGACTGAGGCACGGGGAGGGGACAAAGTGGGAGCTTGCACCTTCTGGAGAGGGGCCCTGTCATGCCTTAAGGAGGCCAGCACTTCATCCATCGACCCTGAAATTGAGTAAACAGAGCAAAGGAGTCACGGAATCATACTCTTTCTCCCTGAGATGCCGAGACATTTTTGTACTCGTTAACAGGGTTAGTCACCCATCAGTTAAGGCGATGATGTAAACAAATAATCATCATCCGGTTAAACAAATGCTTCGATTATCTGCTAGAGCGGTCGACCATCAGCTCCCTTTCTGAATCCAGGATCGTCTAATTGCTAATATTTTTCCTCGACCGCTTATTTTCCAGTACTTCTTCAAATCCACAGCAGCCCCCAGGCACAGTCAACAGTCAACGTACCTTCTGTTTCTCAAGACACAGGTGTCATCATCCTTTTGTGTAACCCTGAAGATAGTTATGAATTCCTGGGGTATTAAGTAATCCAACTCAATGTGCATTGACAGCTCTAAAATTGTATCTCCTCCATTTCCCTTCCCACTTAAAAATTTTTTTTAACGTACCCCACTGTATTTCTCCAACTTCAGTCTTGGATATTAGTCAGTGATGACTCGTTCTGTGATAATGAAGCGAGTAGGTTTCTACACATGAAAAGGCTTAAAGCAAAACTTTAATCAGTAGCTCAATGAACCCAGAGTGGGTGGCACTGGCACATTTCTCTGTATATAGTGTGTTTAATTCCACCTACATTACCCTGACGTAACTTACGTGCTCTACTTTTGAGGGTGTGAAATGCTGTCAAAACACAGATAAGATCAGAGTTTCAAGGCCTTGGTGAAGAGAAGCTATTTTTCACTCTGGCACCTTAAGACCCCTGCGGGGGTAAAATCTTTTACCACCTGCTGGAGACTGGGGCATGACTGTAGCCACTCATCTGGGGATCTTCCATATGAGACTTCAAGGTGAATAGTCATTTCTAGTTCAGAATTGAAAGCCCATGCCGTGGCTAACAAAACACTTTGGATTTTAACCTATAACTTGTTATTACATTTCCCTTCTAGGAGTAATAAGACAAAGTTTCACCATCGAGGGCATTTTATTATTCTTTCCAGTGAACTGAGGCAGTGTGTGCGAACTGATCAGGGCTTCCCACACTGTGGGCTACACCAGGCCGGGAACAGGGCGCCCCCTGCAAAGCCCTGCCACGTCCCATCTCTCGTCTAGGCCCAGGCACATGAGCTCTCGCTTTCATTTACACGATGTTGCCACAGACCCCATGGAAATGGGCCTCCGGTCTCTACCTAAGAGTGTGCACATTTTCATTTGTACCTGGCTCCAGGTGCAAAGAAACCTTGAACTCAGAATAACCAGAATACTCATTAACCAGAACCACAGTTTGGAACTGTTCTGTTTGTATAATTCACATCACCTATCACAATCCCCTTGTATGTTCTAGGCATAGGTACTCAGGCATAATCTTTAAAACAAGTGTACACAGCATTTCGATAGAATTTAAACACAGACACAAATACACTCCAGAGCAGTGGGCTCTGAGTCTGGGCAGATTTCAGCCCGTCTCCTCCATAGTCAACATCTAAATCATAATTAGAATAATGAGTAGAACTATAGCCCTCATTAGACAGAAATATTCAAGTGCATTCACTGTGCTATACTTGCAAATGCAAAAAAGTGGTCTACTATTTTTTTGACCGCTTCATTTTAGAAAGATTTCCCGCAGCATTTATCAAACTCAGATTTAGGCTATGCTAACTTTGCAATAAAAGAGTGATAAGGCAAAAAAATACTGAAATATTTTAAGATTGTAGAGAGTTCTAAAAAAGATTTTGATTTGAAGATGAAGGCTCCTAAAGCTAGAACACTCCAACCACCTAACCACCCCTGGTGAGCAAGGGCACTTCGGCAGATTACCTGGGCAGCTAAGACTGTCTGAGGAACCACATGGGCTCTCAGCGGGCGATTCACACACTAGAGGAAGCGGCTGATCATCTTTCGCTGAAGTCCTGAAGTGTGAATTCTGATGATTTGCAGATTGAGAAGAAAAGGGCGGAGCAGGAAGGGGCAGCGGCGGTGGTGGCGGCGGTGGCGGTGGTGGTGGCGGTGGTGGTGGTGGTGGTGATGGTGGTGGTGGAGGAGGAGGAGGAGTAGGAGG